CACACACACACACACACACACTCACACACACACACACACACACACAGCACTCACACACACACACACAGCACTCGCACACACAATGTGGACAGGGAATAACTGCAGGTGATTTCTATACCCTTCAAAAAACACCCATGTTCCTTTTTCATATAATGTTTTATGCAAAGTAAAAGGATAATCTTAGATTTTAAGCTACATCACCCCTGGAAAAAGTTGGGCAGAGGAACCGGTTTTTGTTTTTAAGACAGGGTCTCACCATGTAACCCAGGCTGGCCTCAAACCCATGATCCTCCTATGCCATCCATCCAGGTGCTAGGATTACAGGTAAGGGCCTCTATGCCCAGCCCTGGGAAAGGTTCTCAAGTGGCTTTGATTATATTTAAATGTTTTAATGTCACATTCAACATATGGCTCTAACACCAAAATATGGGTGAGGACAAAATTAACACATTACCACATCCAATTTCTTCATTCTTGTAAACACCAAATTTTTTTAAATCCAATTTTAAAGGAAAGTAACTTTATTTAAGCCCTTTCTCAGTCGAAGAACAGCCTATGTCAGGCACATCTGTCAACGAGTTCAGGACCCGATTTGTGTTAAAACTTTTAAAATATTACTTGAATTATGACTGTACAAAGTTTAAATCCTAGGGCTGAGGATGTAGCTCAGTGGCAGAGTGCTTGCTTACCATGCACAAGGACCCGAGTTCAATTCCCAGCACCACAAAACCAAAGAAGTTTGAATTCTAAGCCAACTTAACTATCAGTGAGACTCTGAGCTTCGAGAAATTCAGATGACTCAGTTGTCTTCAGGCCAATAATCCCAAGAATTATGCAGGTCAACCACGATTGCAGAACCATCATTGCTTAAGCACACGGAGTCAGCAATGAGGGACCGCATCCTGTCTTCCTCAACACATAGGCGGTGCAGCTTGGGATAAGCAAGCAGTCTCCGCAGGGGTATGCAAAACTTCTCTCCTTCACAGAAGGGTTGGGGAGAATTTTCTATCCTGGCCTTTTCAGCCTCTGTGAAGACCTCTCCCAACAGTAGGTGGGGGGCTTGGGAGAAGTCCGTGTCCCCGGGCTTAGGGTCCAATTCCTTCTCCTGTTCCCTCAGCATTCGCTGGTGTCTCAACCTCAAGCGTTCCACTTGTATCAGGAGTTCCCCAACCAGTACAAACTTGAGCACCTTTTCCTGCTGTAAACTCGGGTAGGAGGTTGTATAAACCTGAAGGGAAGAAAAAATAAACAGAATACAGGAAGCTTGTTTAAACCCTCAGCAATTCAGCTACATCAGAACAACTGTGTGTATATCCTGCATGTGTCAGAATCTACCCATTTCAAAGGCCTCAGTTTTACTGGGAGTCAGACACACATGGTTAGCTAACTGTTTTGCTTCAAATTCTAATGTCAACTATATTCCAGTCATGTTTCTACCAACAGGCACTAACCCAGTATTCCTTTTCTTTTTTTTTTTTTAAGATTTGTTTTATCATTTGGTGTGTATGAGTGTTTTGCCTGCATGTATGTCTGGGCAACATATGCATGACTGGTCCCACCAAGGTCAGTAGGGGGCATTAGATCTGGTGGGACTGAAGTTAATAGATGTTGAAAGCTTCACTGAACCCATAACCTAGTGTTTCTACTACTTGATATTACATGGAAATTAATGTAAAAAGAAAAAGTGATTCAATCTAGAGTCAGTGGTACATGCCTATAACCCCAGCTCCTTGAGAGGCTCAGGCAAGAGAACTACTGGTCCAAGAGATCAAGACCACTCTAGGCAACAAGGTGAAACACAGGCTAAAGGAAAATTAAAAATAAATGAAAATGATTCCATCAAGGGAAGAATGTATTCTTTGGAAAAATGAGTGTGTGTGTGTGTGTGTGTGTGTGTGTGTGTGTGTGTGTGTGTGTTCATGCATCACAGGCTGTAGAGAAACTATTACTAGCTTTCCCTTTAGTGCTGACTATCCTAAGAGATCACAAAGGAGGCAGCAGAAGCCCTGCTCTGAAACATCCTAAAAAGCCTTTCAACAAACTGTTCTTTGCCACATAATGCCAAGGGGCCAGTCAGTCTAGAAGAATGCCATAGGCCCACCCTGCCAGCACTCATGGAGCCTGGACCATCTTTCTATTATGAGCATCAAAATTAGATCACTTAGCCAGGTGTGGTGGTGGCACACGCCTTTGATCCCAGCATTTGGGAGGTAGAGGCAGGGCGGGGCGGGGGGGCCGTTGCACAAATTGACCTGTTTCTTGGTGGTAGCTGCAGTAGAGGTGGTGATGGTGGTGATGGTGATGGTGGTAATGGTGGTGATGGTGGTGATGGTGATGGTGGTGGTGATGATGATGATGGTGATGGTGGTGATGGTGGTGGTGATGGTGATGAT